AGTTTTCTTTGCTCTCTCCTTTTGCTGATTTCTTTTGTCCCTTTCTGCTTGCTGTAGAAGCTCCTACTGTCACACTTCAGCAGCGAATCTCACCTGTGCAATGCGCAGTTGCCGTACTGAGCTAAAGCAGCCCCAAGCTTCCTTGGCTGTCCTTTAGTCAGCTGTTACTATCAAGACTTGGAGCATCAGTAGCTCTCTCTCTTAACCCTGGCAGCATGCAGCAGTTAATTATAGAAATCTTGGTGTTTCCTTGGTTAAAACTTTGGAACTGTTATAAAATTTAGCTTAAAATATATCTTTTGCTTCACTCCATGAGGCATTGCTGCTAAAAGCAGTGTATTCTGGTAGCAAACCTAGCATTTAAGACTAGTCATCCATCAGCACCAAAATGTGTGCAAGTCTATTAATAATTCCCATTGGGATAATATTCCCCCAGTACAGTTTAGGAGTTCTGTGCATGCCAAAAACTGAAGGCAAAAAGGAAAATGAAGCTTGCTAGTTTCCCTTTTCTCTTCAGAATAAGCAAGAACCTGCAATTTATGTTAACTCAGTTTGACAGTAATAGTTAGTTAACAAGAAGGAAGTTCATCATCTTCTGGTGGTGTTCTTCCAGTCTGTGTAACCAGCAAGAAAATGTATTGGACTAAAAAAATTTCTTAAAGTCCCCTGGTATTATACCTAGGTTTGACTGTAACAACATGGTAGGCTCTATCGATAGTAAATCCTCCCTTTCAAAAAGAACATTTTGCAAAGCTGTAACAGGAAAATATATCTATTTGTGGTAGACTTTTGGGTATGTGGGTATGGCAGCTTGACAGTAAAAAGTCATAGATCTATCACTAGAAAATGCCAAAATAAACTCTGTACTCTGAAGTGGCACTGTAAATGTCAGCCTTTAGCATACCCGGGATCTGCTACTGAATGTGATACAGACATATTGCTCTGTAGTGAATTTTACTGCTTTGAAAAAGTGAGATTTTGGTTATGCACACCTGATTCTTGTTTCATAGAAGATACCTGATCTTATGCGGAAGAATTTGTAAGATTTGGAGAGAAGCCTTAATTTAAATATTCTCATGCTTAAATACTCCTAGGGTCTATAATTTTTTGTACAAACACTCCCAGCCAACCATTCTGACATTCAGTCACAAAAGGAATTGCAACCTGCACCTTAGGTTCTTCTGAAGTTAATAACAGTAGTGAACATGCATTCAAGGATGCTAAATTGGACATACCTTGCACACTTCTCTTTTCAGGAAATCTGTTCCATGTGTATCACCCAGCAATGTGCTACAAGCAAAGTATCAAACTTTTTCATGGATAACTAAGGATCCATAGGGATCTATGAGGAAGTAGTTTTTTCTCTCTCTTGTTTGATGTCTGAATTTCTGCAGGCTTCCAGGCACAGTTATCAAAGAACTGGAGACCCATATGATCATAGACAGAGGAGGTGCTAGCTTCATTATGTCCGTTTAAAAGGTCCACTGAGAGAGCAAAGAGAGGAAACAGAATCAGCTCTCAAAGACCATGGAGGTCTCATAAGTTAGAGAAAATGTCATGGGAAGAAAGGATGAGAAAAGAGCAGCTGGGCTATATTGTGGAGAGAAGGGAACCAACCAACAATAAAGCATTGTCAAAAATGTGTGCTAGGAAAGATGGGTCAAAAAGAGGTGACGAAAAGCACAAGAAGATTAATTCTTTGTGTTGTATCCATTAAATTGCATGAAGACTATCCAAGTGTTGCTTTCCTGGAGTAATTGTTACGGTTGCTAGATAGTGGCTTGTAAGTGGAAGGTGCCAGCCCAGTAGTGACTTGGACAGGAATATATGAGAGGTGATCTCCAAATCAAATTGTCATTCACACTCTGACCTCTCCCATATCGGGGATTATAGTCCATGCCTTCAGGGGCGGCAGACCTGTAGCTCTGGTTATTTTTGTGACTATCATATAGTCTCATTGTGTCAACAGAGTGACAAGCAGCCAGATGAAAAGCAGGAAGAGAGGGATGGAAGGATGCTGCAAGCAGGAGAAAAAGTATAGTAAAATCTAAAATACTTTTAAGACCTATGATAGTTTTGGATTTTTCCTGTTAGATTGTCAAATTGCATGATGCATTTTCAAACTAGCCTTGTGAAGCTGTGAAAATACTCTCCCCATGTCTCCTGCTTTTTCCTTAGTTATTTTTTTAAGTGCTGCGGTGTCAGGAGACAGAGAATCTTCTGCTGCTGATCCACAGCAACATTGCAAAGTAGAAGCAGCAGCTGGGGAAGAGGAAGTGCAGCCTTTTGACTTGAGGGATCAGTTATCAAGCATGGAGAAACCTCTTCATGCCTCTCTGCTCAACCGGTAGTGCCCCACCTGCCCTATGTGACATGTCATTTCCAACTGAATTTAATTCTGTTGAAGTCTTTTACATAAGATGGATATTTAGTGTTTATTGTAGTTTTAGATCTTTTAAAACTTGCAGTACAGAAACATGAAGTAAAATATTTTAAGTCTTAGGATGTATTTTGTCAAACCAAACACTAGTTTTTGCAGAGAATAGAGTACTATGAGAGCAAAGCTAATGGCAAGAGATCCTGACGCATTTCTGTACTGTAACAGTCGCCACTGGGCAGACAGCTGCCAAATGTCTTGCAATTAATCTGATGCTTACTGGCTCCCATATCCCTTTCCTTTCAGAACCAGTGCCCTGAGGCAGAGGAGTTGGTCTTCAGCCATTTTGTGATCTGTAATGACACACAAGAGACACTGCGGTTTGGCCAGGTGGATACTGATGAAAATATTTTGCTGGCTAGTCTCCACAGTCACCAGTACAGCTGGCGCTCTCACAAGTCCCCACAGGTACGTCAGAAACAGCAACTGCTAAAGCTGACTGGTGGCTTTATGCATTGATTCTCTGGTTTTCTCTATGCTCTCAACTATCTCTAATGCTCCGGTTCTTTCAGGAGCCACACACTGGGGCTGCATCAGGGAGGAAAGGTAAACAAAGAGTGAGGAAAGCCAGATGTGTTTAGAAGTTACTCCAGGGTAGAACTGGATGTGCACGACCACTTTCTGTAAAACTGAGCGGTTGTGGAAACTGAAGCTTCTGAAAAAAAGCATAGGAAGATCGCTTGCCAGGTTTTTATAACTAAGTGATCGGTGTCTGTTTTCTGTGATGTACATTAGAGGTTTGGGGAATTTTTTTAATGAATTGTTTTTACCAGAAGCATCTGTTCACTGAAATTGTTTGCAGAACAGGGTCAAACTGGACAAATCTCTCAACTCAGCTTGTGCTTGCATTAGAAAGGATTTGAAATTGTCAGAAACACCCCACTTATATAGTTTAAATAATGCAGTTTCTGTTTCTTGGGTGTTTTGTTTTTAAGGATAAACACTGAAACTGAAATAAAGCATTTTAAAATTACCAACAGGAAATACTTCAATGAAACCATGTTGTTGGTTTTCTTGAGCGGTGGTGAAAATGGACTTTTCATCTTAATTCAAGATCGGGCAAGAATTTAAATCTTAAAAAAAAAAAAAGTGTTTATGAGACACCAAAGCCATTCCTTTTCTCTTTTTAATATTACCCAGCTCCCGCTGAGTGGGAGACTAGAGACCTGTGCCACCCCTTGCTGAGCAGCAGTCCTGCGCTGAAGAGTTATTGAAATTTTTACAAATCCTAGCAGTGAAGTGTAGTGGATGGGGGGGTTTCTAACTCCCTTAGAGACCTGGAAAATACCGGCCTTAGCATGTGAGAAAGAAAGTGAAGTTTGGGTGGTAATTCTGAACAGGAGCTGTGCCCACTTTCACTGCTGATGAGTTTCAAGTTTCACTGGGAGGCAGAGATGGCAAATTTACTGTGTTTTTTGTTCATATGTCAGTTGGTGGATATGCAAAAGTACTGGATTTTACATGAATGCGGTAATCTGTGCAGAGCGAATTCAGCCACAGTAAACAGTTGCAGTTGACACTGAAGTGAAGGCGTAGGTTAAGAGGAAGGCAGGCTCATAAAGGTCCATCTCACTCCAGCAACAGAGGAGTTGTTATAAACCGTATGCGCTGGTGCAATAGTGCACAGAGAGGAACTGTTGAAGACTTAGAGACACTGGAGAACTGTACGTCCCTTGTCACATTTTCAGAAAGGGCATATGTCTTCTCATACAAGCAGAACACCTGTGATGCCCTAGCCCAACTCAAATAGGTGATGGTGCTCTGTGCCATTGGGCCAGTGTCAGATTGTGAGACAGGATCCCCAAGGTGACAGCACTCGCACTTGGGTTACAATTTGACATAACTTTCTCTGGTTGTGTGAGGGAGAAAGAACAACCAGGCTTGTCGAAAGCTCGCTAAGTGTGACCCGTGTTTCATAACCAATTAGCCTTTGCTTTTGTAGCCACCACCCAAAAAATAGTTTAAACTTTTTCATAAACACATGGAAAAAGAAGGAAATGTTTAAAACAATTATAAATAAAACCAGAACTAAGTGAGACTTTCCTCTTAACGTTTTTACCTGTCCATTTTCTGGTTACTTATATGAAATTGCTCAGTTGGGAGAATCCTCTTTTTGACCATCATTCTAGATAGTTCTACTAATGGTGTAGTTCTGATAATGGTGTATTTCTAATAACAGTGTATATCTGATAATGGTGCAAACTGAAAAGAGTTTTGAAAATGAGGATTATCTCAAGCAAAGTGAAAAGTAAAAGCGATAAAATTGCAGCTTGCTGCTGATACTTTCTGTCAGTTGCAGCCGAACTGCTAAAGACCACCTTATAACATATGGTGTTAACCATCCAACACCTCGAAAACTTAATTATTAAAACATTAATCTTTAGCTCGTCCTTTCAGTGACAGACTTGAGCAGTGCAAAATACTCAATTTTGTGGCTGCTATGTAAGTTTCTGAGTAAATGAAAAAAAAGTGCAGGGTGAAAGGTGGAAAAGTCCAGCAGAAGACCTAATTACACCCTAGAGAGTGGGTGAGGTGGCAGTAGGAGCTTCAGATTCATTTTTTGGATATTCATTCTTTAGCAGAAAGTTGGTGATGTCAAGGGGTTTCCCCATTCTGTTTTGCTCTGGTCAGATTCAGATTCACTGAAGAACTGGCCTGATAAACAGTTGGGAGTATCATGTTGGATTCCCACGTCCCAGGAGATGGCAAAGCTAACAGCTCACTCTTGACTCAACCACATTGCTGGCCAGCAGGCTCTTCTAGTAGGGGGCTCTACCTCCCTTGTCCCAGCCCTTGGACTATTTTCAAGAGTATTGCTACTCCTTTAACATTTTTGAACAGCCATCTCTTGCTGGGAAATTCAGAGACTTAAAAATGGCACTGAGGTAATTTCGCTGAAAATATACGGAAGCACAAGTTTCCCACATACTGTAGAGATAGAAGCAAATTTTCTTTACAAAGGTCAGAGAATCTTGGTGTCCATCTATAAGCCTTGTTTGTTTTCTTAATGTTAAATACAAATCACTGTAAGTTTTGCATGCTTCAGAAAGGTAGTTCGTCTGAGCTTCACAATCCTTTGTCATTTTAGGTCATACAAAATAAGTTTGTTTAAATATCATTACAAATGTTGTCATGTAAATTTTCTCAACTATTGATAAAAATCCTTGAAATGAAAACGACGACTCAATTAAGACATCAGGTTGTCCCTATTATGCTATGGCACTTTTCTAATAGTTTCCATGCAAAACTATCTTAACAGCTTATTATCCAAAGGTCAGAATAGTGCCCAAGCATGGACAAACCCTCCAAGTGTCATATTCATGGAATGCTAGATGACTTCATAGTTATGAAATTATTTCATTTCTCATGATAATTCCCAACTTGCCAAGTTAGTGAATTTTAAGAACTCTGAGAGCAGATTGTGAGATAAATGTGAAATAAACCATACTTCTGGAGTCAGGGACTTCCCTCCAGGCATTAGTTCATACTTGACTTACTTGACTTACTCTTGGGGATAAAATGAGTTAGGACAAGGTCTTAGATACCACATTCTCTTACTGGGAAAGAAAACCAACTTGCACAACTTCGGCTGGCTCATGTTTCTTGTTACACAGGCACTAAGAAGCAGCAGTTGCCATGAAATACTTTATTTAACCTCTGCAAAATGTTTTTTTAGTATGGCAAGGCAGTTCAGTTAAATGAAAATAAATAGTTTTAAAAGGATTGTATTTCTTTCACATTCACATCAATAAAATTCTCCATTTTTCTTTTGCTAATTAAGCATAGTGAGAGATGCAGTAATTGCCCATTTGAATTATTTAACACAATTAAATATATATACCTAAAATAAGTTATTTTTGTAGTAGCAGGTAGTTATATGATGCTCTCTTTACCTTGAGAATTAATTTTTATATTAATAAAGCTACTACAGGCTATAATTAAAAATTGTTCAACTTTTCCATGTTATGAAAACAGCTATAGCACACCAAGGATTTGGATTTATCAGCTATTGATGACGTCCCTCCAACTGTTTGGCTTAACTTAAAGCTCCTTCCTTCCTTGGTTTTTTCCCAGCCCGGATCTTCTACATTTCAGGGAACCTAACCTTTCCCTTTTAACTTTCACTCTGATTCCTGCAAGTCTCGCTAGTTTGGCTAATATTTCAGTAATAAGTCTGAGGTCCAATGCTCGCCCTTCTACTCCGCTCCATCCCCCATGTTTTCCTCAGATTTCATGAGGTTTTGACCTTCCTTAGGGATAAGATACCCCCCAACTATATGGTCCCTTTCAGAGTTGGGGAAAGTCCAAAACTGATGATATTTGAGGTTTAAGCAATTCTAGCAAAAGTTGCCAGACCTCGTGAGTTGCTTTTGCAGATTTTAATGAAAGTTAGAGGTCTGTTAGACATCATTAAAAGGGGAGAGAAGCTACATCACTCTTGTGCTCTACAGACAACACTGGCTCCTACGTTATTATTGGATCCAGTCTGCGCTCCTTATCTTGATCTTCAAGTTGCTTTGTGGGATGGGCCCCAGTTATGTCAAAAGTCATGTTTGTCTCCAAGACAGCTGTGTTTTGTAGGAGAAGAACTGGAGCATATGATACACAGGGTAAAACTCTGAAGTTAGAAGAGATCAGATCCTCCTAGCAATTCACGTCGAGTTAAGGAATTCTGTCTTGCAGGACAGTAGGCAGTTGGAGAGTCCCAAATGTAAAAACTGGCTATTCCTGGGGGAGTCTCCTGATTGTATTCTACAGAAATTATTTGCTTGCAAATAAACAGCAAAAATCCTCTATAACATGGTAGTTATTACTAGTGCTTTTCCCCCACGCCCAAACTTCAGCAGAGTACTCTGAAGAAGCAAAGAATAATGGATATTTTGCTTTCCTTGCAAAACATGGTGTTGCATGGCTGAAGTCTGCATTTAAAGTAGCAGCTCCTAAACCTTTCTGCAGAGTCTTCTCCCAGGGTTATAATAGCAGCCCGTTTTCACTTTTCAGCATCCTTAACTTGAAGCAACAGGCGTAGTGGGTAAAAATCAGTTTCAATGTTGATTTGGGCAATGAGAACGTGGCCCAGTTACTGGTTATTAACAAAATAGATTTATTTTTTATCAAAGTAAGTAAATATGCCTGAAACAGCTATGTGCCACTTTCTTGCTACTTGTATGGAATTAGAGGGAAAAGTATCTCCATCACTTGCTTTTCTATTCCTCTGCATGTACATTTATAAATTCTTGATATTAGTAGTAGTTAGCACATAAATAATACCTTCACTGGAACCTGTTTGAAGTTTTTCTTCTCTTCTTTTGAATAGTGTGCCTGCAAAGCACAACTTCTGCTAGAATTTTATAAACATAATTTTTAAAGACAGTTGTAGATTTGGAAATAGCTTTAAGAATCTCCTCCTTGTTCTCCTGAAGCCAAATTTTTATCTATGTTGCATCTCCAGCAGGATCATAATTCATTGTTATTTACTTCCAAGTTGCCATACTTTCAGGTACTGGGTTATGTAAAGTGTAGGATAATATACAGTGCTCTGTGGGTTCAAACTTAGAAACTGTGACTTATGTATCAAGTTATTATCAGGATATTTTCCTGTTTTATTGTTTAAGGATGTTACAGATTCTCTGCACAGCCTTCTTTACTTTACATAATTCTCCCCGGTCATTTACAGAAAAACATCAGGAAAAAAAAAATCATGTTATTTTACATGATTCAAGAAGTGAGAAATATATTGTTACTTTCCTTTGCAGTCCTACACTCAAAATCAATGGTTATATTATATGTAATTGACTTCCTAGATAATATCCAGGGCAGATAGAGATTGATACTATCCATGAATCACGTGAATCCTCATGATTTGGTTGCTGTTCCTTAACCTTCTTTCCCACAGTGTGCAGAGCTAGTTTGTACCTGTGAGGTTCAGGCCTGCTTTCCAGGCTGTGCTGAGGCTCACAGCACCTCCAGGAGCTGCCGCGGGTCAGAGTTTGTCTGTCAAGTGTGAACTTTTTTCTACTAGCCAGTGTGAGGGTGATGGAAATTGCTTTCTCTCATGCTCCATGCTGGCCTTTTGTCTTACAAGGGACAATGGTGTAGAACTGGTCAGATCTCCAGGTCCCATGAGAAAATGAAGCCAAACTGGTTTGGTGGCTGCTGCAGCTGTCAATGTAAAGAATGAACATTTCATTCACTGTTTTCACAAATACTAATTGGCTTTACTGCTGTAAGTCCTAATCCTGGTCAGGGGCCACCTTGTATCCTGAATACACAACCAGAAAGTACCGATCATCCTTCTCCTTTATTTTTCCCATTAAAAATCGCTTTAGCTTCAAGTCTTAGAATTCAGTTCCCATCTCCAGATCTCCATTTCCTCTGTGCTGCTGCATCATCGCAGCTTTTATTTTATTGTCTCATGTCTTTTGAAATAACCAACTGCTTCCACACCATTAACCAGGTCCTCACTTGATTCCTCCCAGTCTCTCAGAGTTGAGAGCAATAACCCTTATTCTTCCCAAAAAGCATTTTATAGTTTAACTTAGAAGACAGATATAATCTAACAACAGTGAAACCAAGTTAACTTTGGTGGATGTACAAGCAAAGCAGAAATTGAATTTGTATCACTAAGCATTTTGAGGGCACAAGCTTTAAATTACTTATACAGCTGGAAAATGCTGCCTTTTCTGGACGGGCTCCATTCTTAGTCTCATTTTTAATCCCCCATTTTCGTCTTCATGCTTCGTCATATGACACTTAGCTTTATTTACTCAGATCATATCCTTCACTCACACATCTAGCTGAAAACCTACATAATTTTTCAGGAGTGCATAGAAATGTTCTGTGAAGAGACATGATAAAGAATACAGCTTTTCTAGCCACTCGCTTCAGTAGGAGCAGCCTCATCTTAGTCTGCTTCCCTGAAGGCAATTTCTATCCCTCTCGAAACAGAAATTGATAATGGCTCAGAATTACAGATCCAAACCCTGTTAAGTCTAGTCAAAACAAAAACTCTGTGTTATCTGTTGATATGTTTCCCTAACAGAAAATGCAGAAATCAAATGGTTACACAAATGAGTGCTTTTGTTCATATATACACTAGATAGTCTGTTTTAAATTCTCTCTAAGCTATAAATTGCTGGATTATATTTGTTAGAATGCTTTTGAAGTCCATTGAATATTTTTTGTATGTTTTTGCAATGACTTCTCTTTTCCCCTAGTATATGTACTGTACTTAGTGATACTTGTTGAAGTTTTTTTAAGCAGAGTGTCTAATATATACTGAGAATTTACTTAAAGCTTGATAAATGAAAGGCAGTTACATGGCAATTTCTGTGAATCTGTAGTATTAGGCCAGTTTTATAATGTTAGAGTTCTGTCTTGTTGAGTATCTAACACCATCTATTATGACGTCTTCTGCTGAAATAATGTTAACAACTGATTACTTAATTTCGTAAAATTGCTTCAATTTTTATTTCCTGCCATATATCTCTATATCACTTAGTGTCATTTGCTAATTACTTCTAGCCACGTTTTCCAGAAATCTCACTATTAAATAACTGATTCACCCAGAGATCCCTTTGCGTTTTCATGGAATGCAGTTTCTTGGCTCAAAAATAAACGTACGCAGTACCCAATTCTTATATTGTTATGTCATTAATGTAAATATATTAGGTATCTTTAAAATAACTTACAACAGCTGTTCCCTTTATATGTAGCACTTCCCAGTATACAAATAGTATGTTTATAAAATAAGAATTTGCCCACATATGATAATAGCTCTTTTTATTTTTCTTTCTGAACTGTGAAGTTAAATGCAGACTGATTGTTGCGCTACAAAGAAAATTAGCAAGGCGGCATTTGGGAGCTAATAACTGCTCATGGAAAGCTGACAGCGCGCTCCTTGGGAACATTCAACTCATGAGCAAAGCTGTTTATACAGGGTGGGAGACATCCTAATGTTGGAGCTATGTACAATTACTAATCATAAATTATGGCATTTATGTGACATCTGTCTTTGGAGCTCACTGTATTTTGTGTGCCTTTGAGCTGAGACTGACCACTTAGTACCTTTTCTTATTTTTTGGCTGTCATTTCCAGCTACCAGTCTCTCCAAAGTAAACAGTTTCCTTGTTTCTCTTAGTTTTCGTATGTGATGAGATTTATTCCCAACTGCCTCTGTAAGAAACTGAACTGATTCCAGCCACTGCAGTTGGATTTTTTGTGTTGTTTTGTTTTTCCTTTTCTGTAACTAATACTTAGGAATCAACGCGACGTGTTTGTTTATGGGTTTGAGTGTCCTAGTGCACAGCTTCCCTCAACGAATTCTTGAGTATAAAGCTGTGCCCACGCATTTGCACATCCAGATGCATGCCCATGTGCACCCTGGCACATATTAGCCTTTGTGCTTCCAGCCTAAAACTAATTTGAATCTGAATGCAACAGTCATCACTCTTGCAAATTCAAAAGCCACCCACTGAATGGATGTTATTGTTCTGTGTGTAACTTGTGCTGAGGATACCACAAATTGCAAACAGGCTACTGAGTTGTAATATCTTTGAAAGTTGTTGCTGCGGTTGTTTCTTAAAACAATGAAAAAACCCCAACACCCAGCCATTCACTAAGTCCAACTGGCCAGATCTATGATGGCCAGTGCTATCTCTCTTTGGAAGCAAATCACGGGAGAAAATATTATTTACAAGTTTCAGTTTTTGCACATGTAAATAATCAAACTTGGGCCTGATCCTGTTCTCAATTACTTAAATTAATTAATGACAGATGTCCAAAATCAGAGTGAAATTCAATCCTCAAGAGAGAATTCCCACAAGGCCTTTTATATAACTGTTTTAAAGGACTTACGTGATGCTTAGGCTCTGTGCTGGCCCTCTGCAAAGAATAAATTTTACCCAGAATGCTTACTGCTTTGATCCCTTATATATAACTCACATTCTTGAGTTTGCACAGCCACAAAAGATCTATGCAGAACTAAATAGCCAGATCTTCAGCTGGCGTAAATTTATGTAACTTCATTGACCTACATGGAACAGTACCAATTTTCACTACTCTGGCTTAAAGAATCTCCATGGGATAGAGGTAAGTTTGTATGGTGGGTAAATGGATGAAAGTCTCTTCAGATGATGAAAGACTATATTGCTCTGGAAGTGATTTTAGTTAAACTGGAAAAAAGCCACTCCTTTTCCGGAATAAATCACATAGGGAGTATAATTATGCAGTTAAATTTCTTTTCATGCAGTCAAGCTTGAACTTGCCACCACATTTGTGTAAGAAATGAGATGTTTCCCATCTCTCAGCAATATGCAAAGTTCTACATTTAACACACATATATCTCTGAGCTATACCAGTATACATACAAACAGATTTGCATTCTTCTTTATTGTGAAGGGAAGGACATTTGTAATTTTCTGTCTTATTCTGAAGGCCAAAAATCTGGCCTGGACCTGCATTCCATATCACCTTGCTGGTAATAAAGAGGGTGGATTTCTAGAACAATTTCAAGGGCAGTAAAGAAAATCTCTTATTTCCTGTTTTATGCTCTCTAATCTTTATAACCTTTATTTTGAACAGTTGTGTGCTTGATTTTACCATCCTAAATACACTGTTAAAGCAGGTAATGTATAGAAATGCATGGTGCAGAGCCTTCTTACGGTATTGCTGATTCTTCTGTTCGTATCTGAAAGCACAAAATAAGTGGATCATTCAGAGAACTGATGTGCTTGGCATTGCTGAGTTTTAAAACCAAGAATATTTCCCTGTCATGGGAATTCCTATCCTATTTTCCCAGTTATGTACTGAAGTAGTAATTGCTTTCTTTCCAGCTGTTACACATCTGTATTGAAGGCTGGGGAAACTGGCGGTGGTCTGAACCATTCAGTGTGGACAATACAGGGACCTTTATTCGTACTATTCAGTACAAGGGCCGGACAGCATCACTTATAATCAAGGTTGAGCAGCTCAGTGGAGTGCAAAAGCTAGTAAGTATTTGATCCAGTTTGGAAAAAATAACATGAGTAGTTTAAACTGTTATGTATTCATAAATTAGTCACTTTATTTATTGTCTCCTGCTGGGATCTGCAAAAAGACAAGTATAACAGTCTTCTGGGGGCATTTTTGAGAGTTTTTACAACTCTTTTTCTTCACTTTGGTATGGATCTTAGCATTTAAAAGCTCAATTACCACCACACATTTTACATGTTCCAGTAAACATTCCTTTACATGGTTTGTAAATTCTGACAGTGCTAGGTTACACAATCTCTTCCATGTTTTAAGCTCTTGAGAAGGAGAATTTGTATTTTTTTAAGAAGCTATTCATATCTTATTCTGGGTTGTAATTCAGGCTTTCATATTGTTATAAAGAGAAGTAATGACCAAATTAACATTTTAAAACAGGCTGCTGTGCAGTACCTTTTCGCATCCTATCTTTGTAAAGAGATCTGTAAGAACACTGCAGTCATTCTGCCTGCATTGGCAGAAGCCAGAGCATGTGGTGGCCATAACGTGTTCAGCTCATGAAAACATCAGAGGGCCTTATGCTGCACAACAGAAACACAACTGATCAGACAAGAACAGTGCCTGGCGTCACCAAAAGCCCTGCTGAGACTTTGCTTGGTTTGGTTGTAGCTATGGTGTGCACCCTCATTAATGAAAAGTAAATGAATATGGTTGTAGCGGGGATACACATGGAATGTTGTTTCTAAGCTGTATAGCTTAGAAAAAGTCAGATATATGTTCTACAATAAATAATGTATGACGGACAGCAACAATTCAAAGTCTAATTTGGTCATTTTCTAGGTGGGTGCATTTAAATACAGAATTATGGTACAGTCATTTAATGGAATGATGAGCTTCAGAGCAAAAAACATACTGAAAGGTCTGGATCACTGGATTGTGTCGGGATGTGAGGTTGTCAGTAGAAATCTTTGTTCTGAAGTACGTCACTGTGTCTGCTCAGAAAGGACTCAGCATTCAGAGACCAACACAGTACTCTTAAAATCCAAACCAGAGCTATGTCAGCCATGGGCAGTGCTGCTGAGTTCAGTGGGAATGGAAGTGGATATGTTACATGCTTCTTTCAAGCCCAGATACTGCCTTAGCAGTATTTCAAGCGTTTTAATGCTTGGGTTTCTATGAAATTGCACATACATTGGCAAATAAAAATAATGTTTTGCCATTCATGTTTATTCATGTTTATAAATATTTAAAGGGTGAGTGTCACGAGGATGGAGCCAGGCTCTTCTCAGTGACAAACAATGATAGGACAAGGGGTAACGGACACAAACTGGAACACAGGAGGTTCCACTTAAATTTGAGAAGAAACTTCTTCTCAGTGAGGGTGACAGAGCACTGGAACAGGCTGCCCAGAGAGGTTGTGGAGTCTCCTTCTCTGGAGACATTCAAAACCCGCCTGGACGCCTTCCTGTGCAACCTCATCTAGGTGTTCCTGCTCCGGCAGGGGGATTGGACTAGATGATCTTTTGAGGTCCCTTCCAACCCTTCCTAACGTTCTGTGATTCTGTGATTCACCGCCTTCAGCAGTGCTTGGGACAACCTAAAACAGGGAGATTATTCTTGTACAGGTTTTCACTCTGTAATTCAATTTTGACCTTTTTCACAATCATTTATGTATGAGCTGCATATTTTTGTGTGTTTTAGATCCTAATCTGTGGAAGACAGACAGTCTGTAGTTACCTTTCCGAAAGTATTGAACTGAAAGTGGTTCAGCATTACATTAGTCAGGATGGACAGGCTGTTGTTAAAGAACACATCAAGTGCCTTGCAGCCAAGCAGAAGTTGCCTTCATATGTCCTAGAAAGCCATGAGCTCACCGAACTGAGTGTGAAAGCTACAGGAGATGAAGAGTGGTCCCGAGACGTATGTCTAAGTTCTAAACATACAGAACACAGCACTGTCATTCAGGTATGACAAGAAATAGGTATGTGGAATATAGCATAAAAAATGTCTGAGAGAACTGGGGACTTTGTGTTTAGACTTCTATTTGATATGATGAAATATTGAACAATATCATCCTCAGATAATTTTAGTGTAATGCTGCTGATCTCTCTGCATACAGGTACCATCTTCAAAGAGTTCAATTACATATGTGTGGTGCACAATTTTGACTTTAGAGCCCAACTCTCATGTGCAGCAACGATTAGTAAGTACATTTAAGGTCTCTGAAATCTAAATGTTTATGCCTTGTGTGTCGTATAATAAATTAAGGGCAAAATGACCCGCTTTAGAGATTTATTAATAGCTTTTTTCAACAATTGTAATGCTGGACTAAAATTAGCTAAAATTGTTATATTCTTTTTGTAGATTGTTTTCAGCCCTCTTTTCATTGTAAGGAGCCATCTTCCCGACCCAATTATCATACATTTAGAGAAAAGAAGTCTGGGTTTGAATGAAACGCAAGTGGTTCCAGGGAAGGGACAGGAGAAGGCACTGCAAAATATAGAACCTGATCTTACACACCACCTGACATTTCAAGCCAGGTAAAATACTCACTTTCCTTGAGAACGGCTCATTTGTATGGAAAAGAAGGAATAATTTACACTTTAACATTTTTTCCAAGAGTATGGCATATGCAGAGGAGATACAACGAAACAAACATATCTGGCCTGAAATGATATAATAGGAAATATTAAAGTTGGTATAACTATTCTAAGAACATTGGCATTTGCTTGTTTAAGCAGTTCACATTTTTGTGTTTTGAAAAATAAATTTCTAAATGATCGTTAAATGTATTTTTCAGAATATTGAAGTGTCTCAGACACAAAAGTCATTACAGTGTCATAACAAATTCCTGCATGTCAGTTAATGCTCAGGAATTTGTTAGACATTGTAACTTGATTTATCCATGATTACTTTGAGAGTTTTCTTACTGCAGATTACTCTTGGAAAGCTTCATTAAAGAAAATGTTAACACTACTAATGCTTGATCTTGTTGCGGAAGTGACTGAATCTGTTTTCAATGACAGGGAGGAAGATGATCCATCAGAGTGCGCAGTTCCTATCTCAACCACGCTAATTAAACAGATAGCGACTAAATCCCATCCAGGTGGCAATGCCAACCAAATACTGTCCGAGTTCTATGGCACCACTGATCCTCCCCAGCCTGCATGGCCATATAATAAGAAGGATTCAGACAGGTAATTCTCTGCTAAACCTTCTTCGTGGTTGTTGCATTGCCTTTTGGAATAAACTGAAATCTTGTTGAAGAAGACTGTATGTGAGCAACATGGAATATGTTTTAAGTAATTACCTGATTTCTGTATATAAGCTACAGAATCCGTTGCAGGTGGGAAAAAAATGGAGGTCAGTCTAGAGGCTGCCCTTGACTACACTGAGAAGGTTGCATCAGCAAGGATTAAAAAAATGAAACTATATTTTGGTGAAGGCACCTTCTTTACCATAGCTCTAGATTTTGATTCAGTAGCTGTTTGTTTCACTAAAGAAACAGGAAGCTGCTGTAGGAAGAGTTGCTGAAAAAAAACTGAACTGAAATGTGATTTTATTACTACAAAAGTCACGTGTTTATTTCTGAAGTATAGTGGTAATTCCATTAAGGCATTTCTTTATTTGACCAAATTTAGATTGAGCTCATGCAGTTAAAAATATGTCTTTATAGCCTACATGTAGGTAGATCTGTCTGACAGTGTCTCAGTATGTTCCAGAATGATAATGTAAGAGGAAATTGTTATTCTATTTCAAAACCAGAAAAGCCTTTCAAATTTCTGAAAATGACATCATTTGTAATCTTGAATTAATTATTCCTTTGACTTTATCTTCTTGTTTATTTGTTTTTGAACAGCAATGACCAACTGTCCCAGTGGGATAGCCCAATGCGAGTAAAGCTGTCAGTGTGGAAACCATGTGTTAAAACTCTTCTGATAGAACTCCTGCCTTGGGCTCTGCTTATCAATCAGTCCAAGTGGGATCTCTGGCTGTTTGAAGGAGAGAAGATCATTCTTCAAGTACCTACTGGGAAAGTAATTATACCTCCTAACTTCAAGGTAACTTTGCTATTCATGTTAACAGGCACAGATGCTAAACATTCTGATTCTGAAGAATGGTTATTAATCCAGATGATTCCCACTTTCCAGTCACTTTGTCTGTTAGGCATATGATGAATAGAAATAACAATCGAGATTTGTCACACTGTGTAGCATAACATACTGGATAGCAATGTTTGAAGAATAACGTGTCTTTAGCATGCATAGTTAAAAACTGAAAGACACTGTGGAAGCAGGCCTGCATGCCATCTGATCCAGCAGCCTTCTCTACTTCCTTCCAATCCAGCCAATGAATCCACAACATGGGCATAGTGTAGCAGCCCAAGTAAATTGCTGTGAAGGCCAAATATAGACTTTGGCTCCTGCTGTGTTGACCTGTCACTTGAGAAGTGTGTTGAGCACAGAAGCAAAGCTGACAGCCTGGAAGGAATATTTAGTCTGAGTGTGTTTTGGGTGGAGGTGTTTCGTAGTTCTTATGCTGCCAAGAAAGATTTGTTAATGGGATAGGGTAAATTACACAGAAGGAAGATTCTTTAGGATGCCTGCTTTCAGGATGCCTTCCTGAATTGAGAGTTTTGTGTAATGGATCTTCTCACATATCTTAGCTTGGCTATTCACGTACTGTTTATTACAACCCTCATATTCTTTATTTTTGAAAGAATCAAAATAATTTGATACAGCAGCTTGTCAATTCCAGTTGGGCAATCTGATACATCCTGTTTATTTTGCCCTAGTTTTTTTTCCCCCATGTATGTCTGTTAATAAACAAAAGGTCTACCTATTAGAGGGGTCTCAGTGAAGACTATGGTCTTGATTCCACCATGAGGATCAGTCCCATACTGCATTGTGTTTTCATCTATCCTTGTCCTGCATCAGAGGTAATCAGAGAGAGAAAGAGATGAATTGAGATTGATTTCATACTGGAAACTGCATTTAACTTTAGTAGAAGTGTATCAAATTTTCAACAAATTATAATCAGTCATTTTTCACTTACAGGAAGCTTTTCAAGTTGGAATATACTGGGCAAACACTAATACCGTGCACAAATCAGTGGCAATTAAGCTGGTTCACAATGTGACCTCCCCAAAATGGAAAGATGCCGATAATGGGGAAGTAGTAACATTGGATGAAGAAGGTTTTGTTGAAGCTGAAATAAAACTTGGTGCTTTTCCAGGTCATCAAAAGGTTAGAAAAAAATTATCATGATTTATAACTTTATAATTTAAAAACAAAGTCATATAGCAGATGAAAACAATCAAATGTATGCAGTGTAAAAGCTCCTCCCTGATCATATTAATACATAAATGAGAGTATAAAACATAATGAGAGTATAAACAATGTATGAAGTATAATTTAAAGAATTAGACTGTCAAAAACATCCTGTCCAAATCATCAAGATAATACTCCTTGAAAAAAGAATTAATGAATTCTCAGTCTTGTTTGGAAAACATTGACAGATGCAACTTCAAAAGTGTAGTTACAAAATGCATTAATATAGACAGGATTTCCACAGTTATAAAGGAAATGACATTTCTGTCACTATATTTCAGTACCTTTTGTGGTTTTTTGTGTGACCTCGTCATCGTTTTTATTATCTTACAGTTGTGTCAATTCTGCATTTCTTCTATGGTTCGACAAGGTATACAGATTCTACAGATAGAAGATAAGACAACGATAATCAATGATACATCATATCAAATGTATTATAGACCACAGCTTTCTTTTTCTAAACCCCACTCAGGAGAAGAGGTAAAGTGCTGTGGTTGCTGGTTTTGTTTGCCATCTGAGGTACATGAGTGTTTAGATTGTATGATCTCAACTGCATATAGCAGAACTTGAACAGAAATCTTTAGACGTAATAATGATAAAATGCTTTATATAATTTTATTTTAAAATACGAAATCCTGGGTAAATTCAACTGCAGTAATTAACTGTGATCAGAAATCTGTGCAAAGCAGGAGATTCTTGCACGTTGCAGAATTAGTTCTGCCCGCTCTCCATCTGTTCAGGCACTGATGGCCATTTCTGTAAAATAGGCACCATAATCCATAGTAGCTGTTGAAATTGTTCTCAGAATTTTTACTGACTTTGCGTGTAAAAGAGGTATATTGGCCTGGCAGGCTGAAAACTTTTTGTTATCCTTTTGGGAAGATTCAAGTTATCTGCACAAAATTGAAGAACTAGAGACGTGCCCATAGTTTATGTACTTCAGCAAACTGCATCAAATCATGAATATCAGTTTTCTAATAATCACACAATATATTTAAGAACTAGCTTACAGGAACCAAAATGTATGCATGGTCAATATATTTTAATCAACCATTTATACATATTTATTGAAGATTACATTTATAGTAAAATATGTGGCAAGAGTTCTCAGGGTCTAACTTGCTACAGGAGTTGGCAGATAAACAAATTTTTCAAGTTCCCTATTTCTGTATTGTTTTACTTCTGCATTCGTTTTCTTCACATCGGTATCTACATTTGTGCGTCATGAATTTTGTGGCAGTCTTATGGGATGGGGAATTGAAAGAATGTTGAGGCTAAAATCCATTCTTAGTTTTATATCTATAAATGGACTTTCTTCTCACAGTTATTTTACAGTGATGTAACTGTTAATTTTGGAAAAGTTATGTTGTGCAACTGAGAGTGGACTGTAGATAACTGCTTAAGTATACCTGAAGACAGAATTTGGCCAAATAGCTTTTAATGCAATGGACTTAGTGCAGCCTTTAGTTAGTTGTGGTCAGTTATCTACTTGAGACTGTTGTGTGCAAGATCAACATGAACAGACGTCCTGTTAGGAACCAGTGTGTCATGCTCCCACCACCTTTCTCCTTCCAGGACTTCCACTCACCAGACAGCACAGTGTTCAGTGTCAGTCCAGCCAGGGCACCACCCAGCGAGGCGCTGAGCGCTGTGACCTGCTGGGACCTGATGTTGGACGCCAGTGCCTTAACCTCGGGAGTGCCTCCTACTGAGAAACGCCTGCTGCTGAGTTTCAGCCCAGGCGGCTGCGCTGGCCGCTGCGAGCTGTGGAGCCTTCCAGCTGTCATCAAACAGGAGTTTCCCAGGCAGAGCGTGGCAGTGCCCACAGGGGTTTGTGATGAAAGTGGATTTTGTACCAGGTACAGTGTGCTGAACAGTCATGAATGATGAACTTTGCTTCTTGCTATAAAGCCTCAACTAGTAAGAAACATAAGAGATTAATGCAAAAATCAGAGTAACACATGCCCCCCATATGTAAAGGCAAGTCTTACTTTAATTTAAAAATTGTTATCTTCTGATGGTTTTGATGCTTTTATTATAAATGGTTTAATGTTATGACCTTGTACAAGTTGTACAGTTTTTATAATGTATGGGCTGCTATTTTTTTACGTGCATACAAAATAAAAGCATGAAAACTTTATGTTTCAGATTATGGTCTTTTTTAATTTGTGGGTGACAATTTAAGAGTTCAAGAAGAGTGTGAAATAATACAATACAAAATTTAGGTTTTGTTTATAAAAGGTAAAAATCTGTTTTAGTAAGAATAATACAAGGATAAACAGGAAAAGCCAAGAAGGGATGAAATTATTTTGAGACTTCAAGGAAAGATTTCCAAGTTTTAAAGCTTGAAATATCCAAATGTACATTCCACTTACAAACAAATGCATCCAGCTAGTTAAAAATAACAGTCCAATGACTTGTCACATGCCCAAATTCAGTTCTCAGGCCTGATATCTGAATCTACTCATGCTTATACTGATATAAACAAGAAACCATCTGCTGAAATCAGAGAAGCTACATCAGTGTATATTACCAGCCATATGATCTTATTCTTGCCTGAAGTGCTTGATATCGTTCAAACCCTCACAGGGTTCCTCTGCAGTCTTAGAGGTGTCATTGTGGATACTGAAGATTCTCACACAAACTTCAGATTTTAAAAAAAAAATTAAAAATGAGAAGAACAAAGAAAGGATTCCTTATAATTCTGAGACAGGCATAGAGGATCTCATGTTTCTAATAAAATTTTCAGACTGCATTTTTAAAATGGCCATGTTTTTTAGAAGTAGCCAATAAATTTCCACATGCAAAAAAGAATTTGTGTTTATTCTTGAAGACATTTTATGTAGCTAATGAGTAGAACAGTTTAAAAAAAAAATTTGGAAATTTATGTAGTGATGATCCATAACATTAACATTTGAAAGGGTGGTGGCATTGTGGATCATTCCAGGGGAGTAGTCAGTTACAGATTTATGTATTTGTTACAAATTTCTTTCATGTGTATCGGAGAAGTATGCGTGCAAATTCTTCTGGAAAAATTTTAAAGATTTATGTTGAAAATTTGGGCCTACAATCTCATGTTTTTAATTTAATATAAATCTCTGCTGGCTGGGGCTCTCATCTTGCAAACACACGTGCTCAATTTAACTCATGAGTAGTCTCTATGAAGTTATTTCTTCTCTAATAATGTTTTTTGTGCTGTTTCCACATGTTCTTCTGTTTAAGTATAATTCTCAGTGGAGATATGTACTTCTTACCTAAATGTATATAAATATCTGTAGAATTGGAACTTGATCATGAAGTATCTTACAGATGCTAGTTTTTAATGGTTTTAATTGTCCAGGGTAATAATACGTAAAGATTTCATCCAAAACATGCATAATTGAATATATCTGCTTCTGTTCTAGAGCTATAGCACTGACTTATCAAGAGCATCTTGGCGTGACATACCTAACACTTACTGAAGATCCTAGTCCTCGTATAATTATCCACAACAGGTGCTCCGTTCCATTGCTTGTAAAAGAGAATTTCAAAGGTAGGTAGTATGCAGTAATTAGAAACAGTGTACTGTTGTAGTGTAAATTATTTTACTATGTCTTCACTGCAAAGTTGAGTTCAGTATGTGCTTTGTTTACAAGAACCTGATGCCCTCACAGAGGTCTATCTCAAAGGGAGAGACTCTGGAAGATACTGAAGCCTGGAAGCTCTTGGGGCTAATCGTGAGGTCAGGAGTATGGACTTACATGGCTCCAGGCTTTTGGGTCTCCCTGGTTCCAGCTGTCAAGGTGACTTGGCTGTAGGAAACTAAGCTGTAGGCAGTGGAGTTTTGTTGACATCAGTTCAATCCCATGGAACATTTAAATTTCCTCATATTTGCAAATGTAACACAAAACATATTGCTAAAATTCCAGTTAGAGTATGTAAATGTAATGATCAGTGGAACATTATTTATGTAAATCTTAATTACATAAAAAAGGAAAAAACCAGGAACACATAAAATTAAAACCAATAGAAAACTAATGTTTTATTTATCAGTAATATTTCAGGCAGAAACTTCCTAGTTTGTAGAAGCATAGGTGAGTTTTGATTTAGTACAGGTTTTAGAAAGCCCTAATCTTATATATTTTATAACATTTCAGATACGCCAAAGTTTGAAGTTTATTGTAGAAAGATTCCAGCTGAATGTTCAGTTCATCATGAACTTTACCATCAAGTCTCCAGCTATCCAGATTGCAAAACACGAGATTTGTTACCCAGCATTCTTCTGAAAGTGTTGTCGTCTGATGAATTCGTAAATGAATGGAGTGATTTTGTGGACATCAACAATCAAGGAACACAAGTAAATCATTATAGACTATTTCCTAGTTCACAGCATAAACGGTTTTCTTCCCGACCACACAGTATGTTGTTCCTCTGCAATAAGCATATCCTTTCTGTTGGTTTTAGGTTTTTATGTTTAAGTCTTGAGGGCTCTACTTGCTAAGCCTCTTCCTGTGGAAACTTTAGAATACAGATTACCTTCTCCACTGGCTGCTTTTAAAAATACCTAGGTGAAAAATACATGCTTTCTAGTGCTGAATTTTTCACTTCTTTTTGATCAACCTGGCAAGGCCAAGGTGTTCCCTGGAAAATTGAGCCTGAAAATATCTGGCCCCTGTAAGCAAAGAATCTCAGGAAAATCCTCCATTTGGTAACTTAATTATCACAGGATTTTTATCTTTACATCTTGTAGGAATCATTTCACTGTCATTCTCCCTCTGTATCTTCACAGATGTCTTTCTAAAACAAAACAAAAACCCCCTTTTGTTTGCTTCTGTTATTTTTCTCCTGTTTTGAGGTAAATGAAAACTTCCTTGACTGGAGTAATTCTTTTTGATGGGAATTTTTTCCATCTTTGAAGTCATTAGTTTACATGGAATCAACATAAACTGCTTGGCTCTTTGAAAGAAATACTAGTTTCAGATGTTTTCCCTGGGGACCAATCACAAAATGCTCTTGATTATTGAGTGTTATGTTATATAGCAAGTAGTTCAGTTTCATTCAGCAAGCCAGTTAAGCAATGCAGGGTTTCACATTTCAGTCATTAATGTTATGCCAGACCAGGGTTCTTTATAAGTATCTGGCTCCTAGAAGGAATTAGATGCTAAGACAACATTTGGGGATCATTGTCTACTTGAAGAACTCTCCAAATAAAAAGTGTAGCCTTCTGTTACTGAAGTTTTAGGGTTTACATGTAGCAAATTTCCCCAGGATTTCTCAGTGTTTCTCTTAGAAAACTATAAGTACAAGTAAATAAGGAATATACTAATAGCTTCACAAATAATTCAGTTCAGGTTGTGAAATAACTGGGATTTAGAGGATCTCAAGTAATTTGTACTCTTTCTATCTAGTCACAGATAAGTATATCTTATTCTATAAGAAAGAAAATTTTATTATTTTACTAAAATTAAGGTATTTATCATCAGAGTCCTCTGAAATGGGAATTTAAATTACAAGTCTTTAAGATCAGTGAGGAGTTTTTTTTAGAATATTGAGGGTGTATTGAAAATTCAGTAAATGTCCTTTTTTCTCCTGTTGCAAATCTCTATCAGATAAGCAAAGGATTAAAACTGACATCAAAATTAGAAATTCTCATATATGTAATTCTAAAAAGTATGACATAATCTGATGAACAAAATGTAATTATCTGTACAAGGTTATTATAAATAGCATAACAAGAATCAGTTGAAGTGCTGATCCTTCTTCCAAGTGCTTTTCCTTCTGGTGACTTGTTAACAGCAGTAAAGACTCTGCAAGACAAGCAACCATTTATTTTACCTGTGCTGGCCCGTTATCTTTGTGTTTTGCGTTCCTTTAAGTTATAGCTTCTGTCATTGCAATCTAGTAAACAATTGTGTTCATAGTAGCCCTACAAGAAAACAGAAGCCAGCTTGCTCTAACAAGGACTGCTGTGAGTTTTCCAAACCTAAAAAGATCTTAATCTTTTGTATTCTAGAAAAACCACAAAACTTGCACAGAAATACTGCAGAATTAACTTCCAAAATCAATCCATCATTTCTTTTAAGTGGAATATTTATTCCTAAGGACAATTTATTCAGAATGAAAGTTTGCACATCTGTAAGCAAGACACAAACCTGTTGTGAAATTCCCTTTTCCCTGCCTTTTTAGACATTTTATGCTTTCCAATAGGCTTTTGCCATGTCTTTGTGGCAGCACCTTGCTTATGAAGGTGTTCTCACCAAACCTAATTAGATGGTTTAAAAATGTGTTCAGTGTTTAGTAGTTAAGCCAAGTCTTCATGAATCCAAAATGTTGAATATCTTTTAGACTTTTGCAGAGCTCCAGGAATATGCCTTTCTTCTTAATCCAAAATCAAAAATTGAAATTTCCTATTTATTCTTTTCTTATCTCACCTCCTCCCTCTCCCTCTCTTTCTGGAGAGGTTATTTCTTATTAAAATGTATTCAGTTATACAGTTAAAGGATGAGATGAAAAATTCATCTGTACAACTGAAGTATTTAAAGTATCAGAGCTGTTATTTTCTGAAGTATTGAAATCTGTTTCTGTTTTTCCTGAACAGAATCATGATTCGAGTAAAAGATCTCAACCAGAAGGCATTAATAGGATTAATTCAAATTATGACATTAAAAATAGTAATTTCAGTAGCATTCCTTATGTTTCTAACTCTCTCCACTAGATTGTGTTCTTAACTGGCTTTGGCTATGTTTATGTGGACATTGCCCATCAGTGTGGAACCGTTGTCATCACCTTGGCCCCAGAAGGAAGAGCAGGACCCGTCGAGATCAACCTCAACAGGTACATAAAGCACATAAAAGATGACTTGTCAAACTTGTCAAACAGTGCTGAGAGGTCACTCAGCTTTCTAAGTGTTAACTGACTTATGAACTTTGGCTTAGCTGTTTGTTTTGTTTGATACTGCTGCATGCTCTGTGGCATGTTTAGACCATAGGTTATGCTTTGTATATCACAGTTGAAAAAAAGACAGTCTAACATCAAAAGTCATGTCACTTCAGGGTAAACACTAGATATCTGATACAAAAAGAAGTCCTGAGTTGTTCATTAACAAAGACAGTTTCCATCATAATTAATTTTGAGTGTGTTCATCAGTTTAAAATGTATTTAGCCAGGTCCTGCCATACTGGTAGGAAGCTTGATGTTCAAGGGCTGTAGAAATAGTCTTACAGTCAGTAATTAACTGTACTTGATTATAAAACACTTATTTAGAAGACCTTTCAGCTTCCATAGCACACCACAACCTTGTCCTCAGCTCCATTTAAGTGCAATTATTACACCCCCTATTTCCAAGGTGCAGAATGCTGGCCTCCAGCAATGCTGTTACAATTAGAGTGAAATTCGTTGTACTATTTTTATTTGCGCTGTAATTATTATTAATCCCTGACAAACTGGTCATCAGCAGCACATAGTAGCCCACTTGCTGGTTAAACTTGGCAGTGGGCAGTTAACACTGGAGGGAGGGAAGGCCCTTAATGCCATCGGTATAAGAATGCTATGGTGGCTTTGTTGGTGGGCACTCACTACATGTAATGTAAAATGAATTATCCATAACAGTAACCTTCGGTAGTGGCTCACAGAAGAAATTGTAACAGCTGAGGCTGTACATGAATTATCAGAAAATTGTGTTTGTTGGCTGTTTTAACATCTGGGTGTGTTGCAAATCTAATAGGGAATTACCATGTATATAGAAACATTCCTGTCCAAACTATCTGTTGATTGATAAGAAAAAAAGAGAAACCTAGCATAGATGTGTAATATCTCATTTCTTGGAAGACCTCCTGGGTGGTAACCACTGTGGTGATAAAGGCTGTCAGAACCCATTAATATTAATGGGACCTGCACAATGAGTTTCCCATAAATTACAGAGAACGTCTCTCCTTTTTGAGAAAGCAATGTGCCAAGTGAACATGTAGTAACAAAACTCCTTTTCCTTCCTGTGTAGAAGTCAGGAGCAGACCCTGTCACTGAAAATGTTCATCAGCCAGTTAAGTCTTGCTGCATATGATGATATTACCAACCACAAAGTGTCGTCTGAACTTCTGCGTCTCACAGCAGACAACGTTCTCCTCCACATGGCCCCCGCCACTAGCCACCTGAGACCCCTCTCACAGGAGCTCCAGCGGGACGCCATGGAAGGCCTCCCACAATTTCACAGTCTCCAAGTGTATTGTGAAGACTTGCAACTGGACAATCAGTTGTACAGCAAATCCAATTTCCATTTTGCAGTCCTGCTGTGCCAAGGAGAGAAAAATGAGACCGTGCAGTGGACCAGAGTGAACAACCTCATTGTTTGTAACAAAGATTTGGAAAGCTATAAGGAAAACTGCTTTATAAAACTCTACATTGCTTTTTCCGAGGAAGATAATTTCACGTTTCATGTGAATGACCTCAGCTTTGAGCTCAAACCAGCTAGGCTGTATGTGGAAGACACCTTTGTTTACTACATTAAGACTTTGTTTGATACGTACCTTCCAGAAAACAAAACCACTTGTCAATCCATGAGTACTTCAGATACTACCCTGGTACTGCCTGAACAAGTGAGAGAGCACGCAAGAGCTTTAGTCAAGCCAGTGAAGTTAAGAAAATTAACAATACAGCCTGTCAATCTCCTTGTCAGTATTCATGCTTCATTGAAGCTGTATATAGCCTCCGATCACACTCCTCTCTCCTTCTCTGTGTTTGAGCGAGGACCCATCTTCACCACTGCCAGGCAACTTGTCCATGCCTTGGCCATGCATTATGCTGCTGGAGCGCTTTTCAGAGCAGGTCAGTACTTTTGCATAACACGTGTAACATTTTTATTAGGTATCAGGATTCTGTGATTGTCTCTCTAACTGAATAACCTAAATGTTAGCTATATAATTATTGCTTTCCTCAAACACTGTTTGATAATGATAATTTTCAGACACCTTTCATGTCTTACCATATGACAAAAGGGAAATAAAATGACTGAACCAGACATGAGTGAAGATTTGTAAAGTTGTGCTAAACATTAGCCAGCCGCCTGAAGACTTTACAAAACCCTGAACACAGCATAAAAATGTATTCTAGCTGGCTTAGGTTTTGTCATTTTACATTATAGGACTAGTCAGAATCAACCCACATTCTTCACATAAACTCCCCAAAACTACATTTAATCAAATTATTCAGCAAGTTGCTGTGCATTCAGGAGTAAATTACAGCCCTGAATGTTGTTTTGTTGTTAAAACTCCTTTTGGCTGCAGTTTACAATTAGGAATCTGTCTTTCTTCATCCAGCCTTCATGCTAAACTGGCACACAGATGTTTGTTGTCCTTTGATCCAAGAACTATGAAGCTTGCTGTTACTAACTTTTGTCCATATAGGATCAATAGTGAGCAATTAGTCTATTAGGTTAGCAGGTACATTCTGTTTCCTACAAATATTAATTTAGAAATAATTGATTTTGGTCTCTCCTGTGTCTTTCTGTGGAACAGAATTTGTGCCTGAGACAGGAGGATCCTCCATGATCACCCACAAGTAACGTACTTCACCCTGAAACGTGGGATTTATTTTCCTGCAATACAAATGGTCAGATTTTCTAAAATCCTGGTGCTGCCATTTGTGCTGCAGGCAGAGCTGCAACCTGATTTCTGTGCATGGTTTCCAAAATTGTACCCATGCATTTCAGGGTATTTATAGAGAGATGCTGATCTGTTTTTTCACTGAGTGCTTACCTGACGTGCATAGCTGATTATGGCAATTGTGTACACAACTGTGCGCCAGAACATTGTGCACCGATTCATTATTTTTTTGCATTACTTTCCTTGCAAAATTTCCAGGTTTTTCTTTTTTACTGCTTGCTTGGATGTGTTTTACAGTCAAATCCCATGGTACAAAAAGGGTGATTCTGGTTTCTTCACAAGTGAAACTGTGGCCAAATACGGTCCGCAGTGTGAATGTTTCTCCTCACAACTGTCTAGGAGTGGTGATACAAGTGGTGATAGACTGCAGCAGGAAATTGGGGTTATACTGGCTTTTCATCCACAACATCCCAGGTGAAGCACATGTGCTCGTGAGGGATTCCTGTGCTACCCTTGCAGTGTGCAGCAGTGCACAGGCCACCTCTTGCTCTGGGCTCATGATGTAGCTGAAATTAAGCAGTTTAAATCTTAAGAAATAAGGTTTGCTTCAATGGAACTTCTCTTCAGGAAAATATATAAGCATATGTTTGGTTACTACTTAAATCCTCACTCTCCTGCATTTTAACCACATTAATCTGCAAAACGATTTGTTTTACCCCGTTCTCCTCACCACTGTCCCACGCATAAATTGTAGCCTCTGCACAGACAGCATTCCCTTACAGCTATGCCTGATGCTCCAAGTGGGATATAGTCTCATTTTGCCCTCAGCTGTGTGCAAGACCATGTGGGAGGGGGCAGGATCTGCCCCAAAGCCTGCTAAAGGGGCTGTATCAGGCTGCCCCATCTGTTGCAAAGGAGCAGCCAGAATCCATGTCTCATAAGCAATGACTGAGGCTGGAGAGTTCTGCTTAAATATGCTGATTAGCATTGCTTGTCTCCAATTAGCAGAACTTGCAATGGAAATCTCCCATCCTTTTCTAATTAGGTTGGCTTCTATTTAAAAGTTAATAAAATTCTTCTTAAAAACATTACTGGTATTAGCCAGATCTAACCCTGTAGTTGCCTATAAAGAAAATGCAGTGGCTCTCTGCTAATATAGTCATAGTTATTTCATGTTGGTGGATATAATTTCTAAGCATACTTTATGGAATGGTAACTTGACATGATGTTTTGGCAAAGTAGAAGGCAGCACAGAGCTTGTGAATTGAGGGATTATTCCTGACTCATCATTTTCCTATTCCTGACTTACTCCCATGGCTTCCTTCTTGGGTTGGGTGGTCCGTGCTGACAGCGAGGAGCCATTAGTTTTGCTCTGAGCCAAGGAGGGTCACCCTTGCTGCACATCCCTCCCATGTGCTCTGTGAGGGTGAGCATTCTCCTTCCAGTGCTTTCCAAAACTGACAGCCCACAGACCAGGTCCAGGCAGCAACACCCATCCCTGGGATACCAGGCAACCCCTCAGCTTTGTGTTTAACTGGTTTTCATTCCTGGTTTTACTCCAGTTTTCATTCCTGAACACACTGGCTGGTCAGACAGGTGAGTGGAGTTGGAGTCTCTCAAGTCCTAACCTGATGGTACCTGCAGGGCAGCAAGACATTAATTCACTGTGTCACGCAGCCCCTTTCTGTCACCATATGCCATCTCATCACTGCCTCAGGACAAGGAAGGCCAAGGACATTTGGAAAAAATGTCTGACTGGTTGTATTATTGCAACATTATTGATCAGAAAAAGCAGAAAGAGCATCTCTTCCATCTGTACACACTTCCCCGCCCCTGCAGCTTTTCATCACTTCACACAGTGGCAAGGATAATTTGTTAAAAGTACTACAGCGAGGAAGTCGCAGGCCCAGCCTGGAGTGCTGACTTCTCCTGGTCCCCAGCAGGGAAGGACTGCCAGGGGAGTGTTCCCCTCCAGGGCAGGCACCATGGGGCCACAGCACTCGCAGCTCTGCGCATTGAGTTGCCAGTCGTACTTGGTTTTTGTTTCCATAGTCCATCCCACCCTCTCCCTTATGTCCACTGTGGTTCCTGCTTTTTGTACTATGTATACTGGAGTTCTCAACCTGCCAGGGCTGAAATGTGAGACAGATTCAACAAGAATAATAGATTTTCCAGGAGCTTAGAATGATAGTATGAGATTAATTCATTTCATATGAGCAACGTTTGCTCTTCTGTTCAGTTTCATGATTCAGCCTTCCACAGGAGTGACTGGGAGTGGTTACTAGAAAACAAGAAAAGCATCTGGATAGCAGGAGTTTGCGGTGATGAGATGGGAATGAGGAGGGCAGTGCAGATCAAGGGCCCTCGGCAGGAGAGCAGGAGCCCAATCTGTCCATCTTCAATCTCTTGGCCGCTCCTTGTGTTGCTCTGACAGTGCCAGTTAAAATTCATGGTACCAGGGCTCAAAGACCAGGCAGTTCCCATTTAACGTTTATTGCCATTCCTGAATCGCTGCCTTTGGGCTGCCAAAAAAAAAAAGTTATACAGCACTATTTCCCTAATAAATCTGCTGCCAACCAGCCTGAGAAAGGCAAGACCTGCAAACAGCTTTCCAGCAACAGATTGCTGTGCGCTCGGCCGTCCAGCGAGCTGCTGGCAACTCTGCATTTATATAGGAAACCAGATCCGCAGATGCCTCTCCTGGGATATGCATAAGGAATACTCCCCTATGAGTAACCTAATCAGCATGTAGATGTCATTGCTGTTTACACAACTGTACTGAGCAAAAGACATTTGTCTGGCTTTCACTGCACTCAGAAAGAAAATGATCAGCTTAGAAGGGTTGGGGTGGATTTAAAATAACTTCTTAAGTACTTGTCAAAAATCTGCATCCCCTTTCCTAACACTCCATCAAGCAATTGACCTCCACACTCTGGTAAAGCAGTACATTGTATCAGTGTAAACTCCCTGTCACAATTCTATCACATAAGGATGTGAAATCACAACACTGCCTTATAGCGTCTAAAACCAACCGAGCGATCTGAACTCACAGTCCCGTTCCTCCGTAGCTGTGAGGCTCTAGCATCTGCCTCCCTAGCACACTTTTAGCAGAAATACGGGAAGCTCCTGGAAGGAAGTCATTCTAAAGCTATTTGTGAGTTTGCCAAAAGGATTTCTTTGATTTACGAAGTATGAAAGATTGCCATTTCTGAATTCATAGTGGATGAGTTATTTCCCGTGTTTTGCTCAAAGGAAGTTCATAATGCGATGAATTCTAGTGTAAAAAGGAGAATTAAGGAATAACCTTTTCACAACTGCTGCTTCTGCAGTTTTTGCAGGCCTAACATGTGTCTTGTTTCTCCACGCAGGCTGGGTTGTCGGATCGTTGGAAATCCTCGGAAGCCCGGCTAGTCTGGTGAGAAGCATAGGGAACGGCATAGCTGATTTCTTTAGGCTCCCCTATGAAGGGCTGACCAGAGGCCCAGGAGCATTTGTCAGTGGAGTTTCCAGAGGAACAACATCATTTGTAAAACACATTTCCAAAGGTAGATCTTTCACTTTGTTCCTCCAACTACTGCTTTGTTGTTGTGCACTGTTAAAGGATGTGTTAAAGTTTTAAACAATATTGCTTGTTGCTTTGTTTGGCTTGCTAGGCTGCAACAAAATGCTGGGAGGGTAAAAATGCTCATATATAACATCTTATGTATTAAACAGATCATGGCTTAACTACACTGTGTAAGAATGTTTCAGAAACTTAGGATTTTCAACCTCCCAGTGGGAAATGGAGATTGGCTCAGCCAGTATTTCATGTGATAACTGCAGAAATATTAAAGGTGTTCTGTACCTCTGCTAACCATCAGAAATTCTACACTCTGTCGCCTCATCATATTTATTATTTCTTTCTTTTTTTACCCTCAAAAAGAAAAGTAGATACAGTTGTCGTAACTGTGTGAGTACGCAGATAGGTTTTGACAGCAGGGCTGGTGTGGCCTGGGAGCAGGCGCAGGGTCTGCGTTGCGGAGCCTGTACAAACAGTGCCATCGCGTGGCTTCGGCCGCCCCAGCCGCTCGCTGCTGCCCCAGGCTCCCTCAGGACTCGGCCTCCCAGGCTCCTTCTGTCAATATTTGTTTACTTTTCCATCATACACCCGACAACCACAAACCCCCCTCCCCCCCCCCACCCCCCCGTGTAGGTTAGCCTTACAGCAGTTTTGGAAGGGGGAAGGATGTTCGGATGAGTTGCTGTTCCCCCTGGCCAGGCAGACCTGGTGCAGGCTGATGTAAAAGGCGTGACGTGGACCGTGGAAGCAGTGTGGTGATGCTTAACAAATAGTAAAGCATGTTACACATGGGTGACTTTGCAGTTGCCTTGCTGTTCTGCTTATAAGCTCGGCATTGCAGTGTTTTGAATTAAAGCATTTTGATCCAGACCCAAATGTATATCTCCATGTATTTAGGTACACTGACGTCAATTACCAATCTGGCAACAAGTCTTGCTAGGAATATGGATAGGCTGTCACTGGATGAGGAGCATTACAACAGACAAGAAGAATGGAGAAGGCAGCTTCCAGAGAGCCTGGGAGAAGGACTGAGACAGGGACTGTCTCGTTTGGGCATTAGCCTTCTAGGTAACGTACTATTACATATCAAGTTGAGTAATAATACTGCTTTCTGATCTGCTCACCAGCCTATTCTACATGTGAGTTACAGTTGAAAAATCTGTTTGTTTGGGCATTTTTTTGTGAAGTAGCTTCACAGTATGTATATGAGACACTGTTTCTTTTCGTCAGGATTTAGTGACTTTTGTGTATGTGTTTTGCCGATAAAATAATTGCATTTATAGAACAAATTTGGACTCTCTTTGTGAAATAATATTTCCATTGATACATGATGTGTATCTGAGAAGAAAAGAATAATTCTGCATTGGGCAGGGTGGCTTGTAACTAAGTCAGCACAAAGACGTCATCACGATGATGTTTACTTTCCAGTGAGTTACAGGAAT